CGTGTCTAGCATGAAAGGGGTCCCTGGCAGCCCTGCTAGTGGTGGTGGTGAAGCAGAGGGACTAGAAGTGGTGCCCTGCGCCTGCTGTGTTGCTGCTGCTGATGCAGAATTAGTATCGAGGCTCTCATGCTCTCGATCCGTACACCACCAAGTAGGCATTGCTCATGCTAAAATGGGTCATCACCAGATGTGTTGTAGAAGGGGTAGCTGTCTCCTCTGGCCCTGGATGTGGTAGAAGAGGTAGAGAGTTGCTTTTTCTATGAGTCTGCTGGCTCGAAGACATGGTATTTCAGATTTAGTCCTCCTTTAAATTGTGTTTTCTTAGGGGCAGGCTTAGGGGGCGTTGTTGGAGGAGGAGTCTTCTGTGAACGTTAGAGTCTTTTTCATTTGCAGAATCTCCCAGGAGGTCTGACTTTTTTTGAAGAGATCTTTTAGCTTTTCTGCTTTTTCAAACATCATTTCCATCCAATCCTCGACAGGTATCCTTAATGAAGTCTGAAACACGCCACATTCAGTATTGAAATACTGCAAGACAAATTCATCCAAGGCTTCATCTCCTTCACTCTTCTGATGGCTTGCACGGTAGAACCATCTACCAGAAGCTGAGCTTTTTGTCTCCCAAACACTACAGGAAACAATTTTTTTAGGAACAAACACGGGTGGAACTTCCTGCTTGATTCTCACAGTTGTTTGAGTCTCCTTGTCTTTTGTAGCAGCTTCCTCGGACGTCGCGGCTTTCAGATTGTTTAAAACCAACAGAGTCAGCACAGCCCAGTCCGTTGATGTGAGCGTTGCTTTTGCTGTGAGGGGTCCAAATGTTTCACCTTTCTCCAACTGGTAAAAACAAAGTTCGTTTACATCATAATTGAATGCATACCCCCAGACACGTCCTGAATCTAAATTCCATTCCTCATGAAGTGTATCGGGTGGCGGCGTCTGGATCCGACTCAAGTACAACACTCGTTTCTTCGGGGCTCCTCCTGGGGTTGAGTTTTGATAACTCGTTACAGGTGTCTGGCTGATCATCTTCGAATTGACTGCTCTCTTGCTCATGTTTAGGTTGTTTTGGAATAGTTTCGTTATATGTTTCTGAATGACTAAATGGACTCCTTTTATTTTCACAGACCCCATCATTGGCCTATGGTAACCCCTCCTAGTCTCTTATCATTGGCTCACGGTAACTCTACCCACCCTCTTATTTTGTATGTGACAGCATATGGGAAATAACTGGTGAGGGGTTGGGGGCCCTTACTTCTGGTACAACCAGATTATTATTTAAACTCTTGGCTCCGGCTGATAAAAATAGCTTCCTGTTTCGAAAACGAACTCACGAACTCTGTCTGCTAAAACCAGACCGTGTTTTTAACATCCGGAGTCTGGGTTATAGATAACCAAAGTTAATAACTGGTCTACAAGATTTCCATGAGGATGGCAGCTAAACACACAACACGCCTCATTGAGAAAACAGAGGGAGGTGTTCCACGACTCCCCAACACGACTCGTTGAGAAAACAGAGGGAGGTGCGGGGTGGGAGGGGGTGGAGCACATTCCTCAATTCACCCCACAGCCTATGCTACACCAGAATGAGAGAGGACAGAGAAGAGGAGACACAGACTCTAGAAGGATTAAAGTTTTAAGACTCACAAGTTTAAGACTAGGCTACAGCTTTGGAGTGATAATGATGGCAAGTTTGTAAGACAAAGCAATAGCAAAGTAATTTGGAACACTCTCTTATTTTGCTGCATGCTGTTGAAGGTAATTTGTAATGCTGTTTAATTTTATACTCACCGTTATACCATTTTACTGCTTTACTGTCATTATTTCAATTTATTCTTCACTTGTTTACTGATGGTAAGTTTGTCACACAAAGCTTTAGCAAAGATTTTGAAGGTAATTAAAAAATGCTGTTTAATTTTAACTCACTGTTATACTATTTTACTGTAATTATTTCATCTTATTCTTTAGTTCTTTAATGATGGTAAGTTTGTCACACAAAGCTTTAGCAAAGATTTTACAAAGTTTAATTTTGGAACTCACTCTTATTTTGCTGCATGCTGTTGAAGGTAATTTATAATGCTGCTTAATTTTTACTCACCGTTATACCATTTTACTGCTTTGCTGTCATTATTTCAATTTATTCTTCACTTGTTTAATAATAAAGACTGACTTGATTCCAAAGAAACCTCCTACTGATCCTTTGCTGGCCCCGGAGATTCCTCCTTTTACTTATAACTCACTGCTATACTTTTTTAATGATAAATTTATTGTCACAAACACCTCCTAGTTTATTCATTCAAGTTGTATTACTTAATAAAGTCTTTAAATCAATGAAAAACACACACAATGGAAGGATGTACGCAACCCTCTTATATCAGACATATTTCCGGCTGGGGTGGGACAGGATGAACCCCCTCTTATCAGTTACATACAGACATATTTCCGGTTGGGGCGGGACAGGATGCACCCCCTCTTATCAGTTACATACAGACATCCGGTGTGGGGGCGGGACCGGAAATAGCTGTCAAAAATGAGTTTGATGGAATGTATTTGATACTTCTCTCTAACTTATTTAGATTCTTTTCAGCACTAATATCAACAACAGATAGCAACAACATGGTAACATAACTGCTCAAATAAAGGCAAACGTAATCAAGTAACTAAAAGATTTAATTACACTTAATTAAATGCTTTGAGTCTTTGGAGACTGCAGTCTTTGGTTATTTAAAGTTCGGATGTCCTGGGTTATGTCACACTTAGAGTTAGACAAGGAGTATCGCTTTGATGGGGTAATGAAACACAGAGCAAGGTCAGTTGCACGGTTACGGTTGCACGGTTACATGTGTGTGTGTGTGTGTGTGTGTGTGTGTGTGTGTGTGTGTGGGGGGGGGGCAGTTTAGGATTTCCTGCCTTTCCGATAGGCTGTTTGTAATCTCTGGTTAATTTCCCTTTTGTCAGTTTAACAGTCAGGCACCGCGTTATCAGCTTCGTAGATCAAAAAGGTGCCAGTTTTATGATCAGGCTGCTCAGGCATAGCACTTAAAGAAAGCAACTTTACACCCCTCTTCCGTTGGGGTCTCTTTAACAGTCTGTTGAAGTTGTTCTTTAACCCCCCTGCTCCGCTCTGGGAGAGGAAAAGAGGAATTTGGAGTAGCTCCAAATTTATTTAATATAAAATGCACAAATCCACACGGTTGTCCCACTACAGGATGATGGTAGATTGACCATCTCTGGTACAGGATTGCCATTTATGCCTGTGTTAACACTGTCTATCTAATATCTAATAATGTTCAGTGGTTGATAAGTGAGGTGTGGTCCAGGAGCTGAGATGCCAAGCTTTTAAATATTAGTTAAGAAGTAGTCTCCCATCAGTATAGAAGTAATACTGAATTGCTTTAAGTGTTTCACTTGTGCTTCCCAACAACCTCTCAGATCTATAAATTATTGTAACATTTTATAGATTTTACTATAATTTTTTTAGTGCTAGGCAACGATTAAAATTTTTAATTACGATTAATCACATGATTTTCTGGAACAGGTATGAGCAGAAACATTTTTCTTTTATCAGGGAGCAGCATAAACAGGCTATGTTCTGTAGCAAGTGTCCTTGTTAGAATGAGGTGAAGTGGTCGCGTCACGAATATGTCCACCGCCGAAGTTTAATTGTCTTGAACTTTTTGTACGCGACGCGGACCAGAATCTATTACTGTTTACTATATAGGACATCAACAGGAGGGAATTCACATGGCAGAGCATCCCCGCAAAACTAGTTGAAGGCCTATCAGGTATAGTTATATACCTGATAGATCCCATGGTCTTCTTCTGCTTACGGAGGGACTTGTTGCAAATACTGACTGGCGTTTACAGTAGCCAATAGTGCTGAATGTGCATTATGCCCACCCCACCCCGTCATGCAGCCTCTGTGTGGACTGGTTGCAGCTCCCAGTGAGCTAAGAAAGCTGCCAGACCGGCACTGAACACAGCCTCCGAGACCGACAGAGGCCAATTTGCCAATGGAATACAGCGCTGAAGTGGTTTTCCTGCTGGGTTTGGCTCTTGGCACCCCGGGTCACCAAACCTAGCGGTCCGCTAGGTGCACAGCTAACCGAGCTAACTAACTATAGCTACAGGCAGATCCAGTTAGCAGTTTAGCAAAACCTAAAATGATCTTACCATCAGGAAACTATAAATCCCCTCGGTTCTATATTTCCTGTGGGTTTGTGAGGCTGTGTGTGGTCCTGTTCAGGCCAGGTTCACTGGGAAGCTGCTTTGCAGGGTTTCGTTGCCCACTACCTGCCATCATTCCCTGCTGGATTCCCACCATCCCTGGCCTGACCTCCTCTAGTTCTTGAATGGAGGTGTAAACACCAACACTCCCCAGGTGCTCCGAGCTCCCAGTCTCAGAGCCAGCTACGACCACTATTTGCACAGATAACAGCTTTGGGAAAAGGAAAACCTTGCTCTGTCACTTTAATCCGGTTGCCATCAGGACCGTGGTCATGAGGTAACTCCGACAGCGTCTGAGAGTTTTGCTTTGCTTTGGCTTGCAGAGATACTATTTTGTTTTATTTTGTTTGTGTGCATGCAGTGTTTGGGTTATTACAAATGAGTGGGTTCACAACCAGATTTTGAGCACTGACTCATGTATCAATGTGGGGGATTGTCCTGAATAAGAGCACCCATTAACATTGTAGGACAAGGCTCCAGCTGGCACCCCAAACATACAGGCAATCCACTACAATACTAGCTACTAAATGAGAAAGTGTAGTCTGAAGACACAAACAGCCTTTCTGTTTCTGTTTCAGAAATTGCTAGACAGGGAGTACAGTGGACCAGCTGTTAAGCAAAGAAGCAAAGCCAACAGTTCACATGAGAAGTAATGAGACTCTGAGAACCTAATCCTGGGCCACCAGGCAGTCCTGACGAACCCTACCCTCCTCGTGTCTAAGGCAAGTCTCTCAGCATCCCTGCTTAACATGTTATAATATCAACCAATCAGTTACCTGACAGCCAGACTGGAGATGACCTCAGTGCCACAGGGAGCCGTCAGCATAGGCAGGAAGCTCTTGCCGTCCCACTTGGTGAGGTAGCAAGGAGGAGGTTTTCTATCTCGTTTATGGGGGATCTGGACTGTATAAAGCCTCAGGGCATCTTTATGGTCTTCTACCAAACCAAACCTGAAATGCATAAAAATGCAACCATGTATAGTCACTTTGGCATCATTCAGATGGTTATGTAAGGGGTAAATCAATGTCATTATCATTGTAAATGTACAGACTGAGTCACAAATATATATCACAATTTGTAAACAAAACATGATCCTCAAACAGATTCAAAATCTACAAAATCTCAATGATCCATAAATAGAAATCAGTGACTTGAAAGCTACATAAAAAAACAGAATTCGATTTGTCTGCGTGTGAGGGTCATATTCGATTTGTAAATTGTTTTGCATTTGCGAATCGCTTCGTAGTTGTCTACAAACAATTTTGACACTTGTTTACCACGGAGAGTGTTACTACGATCCACAAATATAGTCAGCCAATCAGGGATATTGCTTCTATGTAAATAAAAAATAATATTAAAATAAGAGTTGAAAAGTGTTCGCATCATTATTACATACATTATACATTGCATCTAATCATGTGTAAACTTTATTTGTGTTAATGTGCATGATAACTTAAGTGCTGAATGCAAATGCTCCGTATTTGTATAGCGCCTTTCTAGTCTTTTCGACCACTCAAAGCGCTTTTTACACTACATCTACAGTCACACACATTCATACACTGAGCCTAAGTGCTCAAACGGAAACTAACATTCACACACATTCATATCTTCAGTATCTTGCCCAAGG